AAAAAAAAAATTCATAAAATAAATTATAGTACAGCATTATTTTCAGGAAAATTCAGAGGCAGAAGCTGTGAATTAGGATTCCAAGCTCTGTCTTTTACCCGCATCTAAATATTTTACTAATCGATGATTCCTAAAATAGGAAATTCGAAGGAATTGAAATCCTGGATTTAAGAAAATATTTAGATTGGGTCCTCAATTAGAAACTGTGACAAAGTTGAAATCCTAAGTTACCATTTTTGTCCCGTTAAAATCATTAGAACTTTCTGCTTTGAAGGTGGCCCATAGCCGTCTATTTTTGGGCTTATATAGATTTTCTTGGTAATGATTTGGGCTATCTAGATGACTGCGGCCCCATGTATCTAGATCCAAAAGAAGAAAGAGGGGCCATTCCATTAATCCTGCAGCATATTCTGTGTAATCCGATGGCACTTGAAAAGTTAAACGAGAATTTTCATCCTCAACTTTAAGATTTTATATAATTTTTATTTTTTAATAATTTTATATATTTTATTTTGGTTTTTCAACTATGAGAAATACATCTTTTTAGTCATTTTACCAATTTATTTGTTAAATTTATCTAAATATATATATTTTTACTTTCTTAATTTTAAATTAAGGGACAAAAAAATGTGCATATGTTAGAAATTAAATGATTAAAAATAAATAAATTCAGATAAATTTAATGAAATAATTGATGAAATAACTAAAAAAAATGCATTTTTATAGTTAAGGGACAAAAAAAGGTGCATAAAATACATTTTTATAGTTAAGGGACAAAAAAAGTGCATATAAAAAGTTGAGAAATGAAAAATTATGTAAAATCTTAAAGTTGAAGGACCAAAATTGGTATTTAACCAACTTGGAACCCTTCTTGTAAGATAGAGAGATGTGCCTTTGACAGTATCAGAGAAGGATTAATCTCCCTTTTCTTTTTTTTGGACGCTAATTGAAAAAAGTAATTTTTTATAAATTTTTAGTTAAATGTCAAATTTTAGTCTCTTAATTTTTAGAGTTTTGTACCATTTTTGTTACTTAACTTTTTTATGCACTTTTGGGTTGCTTAACTATAAAAAAATGCACTTTTTTAATTATTATATCAGTTAATGTATTAAGTTTATTTAAATATGTATATTTTTAATTCCTTAACTTATAGTATATGTACATTTTTAATTCCTCAACTTATAATATATACATATGTTTTGTCACTCAACTTTAAGTTCAAGAATAAAAAATGCGTATATTTGAACAGACTTAATGAACTAATTGATAAAAGAACTAAAAAAGTGTACTTTTTATAGTTAAGGGACTAAAAAAATGCATAAAAAATTTAAGAAATGAAAATTAAGCAAAAATTTAAAGTTGAGGGACCAAATTAACATTTAAATTCAATGTTTTAGTTTTGACATAGATATCTTGTCTTTCCCGAGAAGAGATTAGTTTCGAAAAATGCATAAACTGTTTAGAAGACATCGTGATCACTAAAAAATAAATCTGCTTTACCAATTGAGGTGCAAATTTTATATATTATATATATGAAAAAAATGTTGTGCAGTTTGAATTATATTATACTAATTATTAGATGGAAATGAAATCCTAATATTA